GCTGACTGGTGCTAATCTGTATTCACAGGCTAAAAACAAAGCCCAAGAAAATGCTCATTACATCACCACAGACAAAAAAAGACCAAGTGGTTGTTCCACAGCATGCGTGCACCCCAACAGTCACGAGAGATGCTAGTAGGGTAAAAGAAAACAATTCATTGATACAAACCATTAATTATCACTTGATTACATTAAGTTATACTCTTCTAAAACTTATTAGTACAGAAACATGAGGACAGATTTTGTTCTGGCAATGCCTGCTCCTGTTCTGCTGATGTACCTGATCAAAAACACGTTGACAGCTCAGCAATGCAAAAACACTGACAGAGCCAGTAGCTGAACAAAGCAAATTCCAGAGGCACGGAGGGCAGAGCTGGTGGCATTCCGGACCAAGAAGCAGTGGGAACCTGGAAGGGGAGCCGGGTCTACCGGTGCCGGCCGCCCAGCCCGTTTGATGAACCTTACACAGGACAGCTCTCTAGGTTCCATGTCCCCAAGAAACTATTAGGCCCCAGGAGCCCATCCTGCTCCAGAACCATGTGAATCAGAAAATAAGACAGAGGAGTTGGTAAGTAAAACTGCCTGTAGCCTCAGGGCTGAAGCAACAGAGACAGCAAGAAAAAATACCACTTCCCAAACCCCTTTAATGAAATCACATATCCAGGACTGCTGACACTAAGTTACAGGTAGTTACATTCAACAACAAAGAGAAAGAGAAACAATAATATTGCCAGCAATCTGTCTGCTGTCCCACCCAGTGAGGGTGCTCAGCCTATCTCAGGTCTCCAGTGCCTCTTACAGTGTGAACGGCTCAACGGGAAGCCAAAATAACCCCCTACACCCAAAGCTCCCAACAGCTTCTCCATCTGACGTCAAGGAGAAAAGGAGGGTTTATTTCAACCTTCAATAACTGGCTGCAGTTGACTTACTGGTGTAGCTGCTTATGCCTTTCTCCAGCACGGGGAGGGAGGCGGCAGAAGCCAGCCAATCTCTGTGAGCTTGATGTCAGCCCAGTTTACACAGAGTTCAAGGAAAGCCAGGACTACATAGAGAGACCGTCTCAAAACAAAACAGAACTACCAAAAAGAAAAAGAAAAGAAACACAAGTCTTTCCAAAGAGTACTGGCACATGAAGGCTACCTTCAAGGGCAATTCTTGACAACATTCCACGTTCTCAGTGCACGCTAACCACAGAGTCAAATACGCAAATGAAGGGTGCCTCTACTCATTCTGATCCAGGTTCATCATCAAACAGCAACATAAACTGGGTTATTCTTACCATGTACTTTTATGGTATTTCATAGTGATTAACGTGTTCTCATGTCAACTGTTACCACTTAACAAACAATACCAAGCAAAAGAGACTGGATGGGGTCAAGAGCACTTGCTGCTCTGGCAGAAGGCCCAGGTTCAGTTCCCAGCATCCACAACCATCTGTTAACTCCAGTTCCATGTCTGACACCTTCTTCTGGCCTCTACAGGCGCTGCATGCACAGGGTCTACATACATACTCATACACATAAATAAATACGTCTAATAAAACAATTACAGAGATGGGATAGAACACTTTTACAAATGTTAGGTGCAATAACAGAAATATTGAGTGGCTTTTTTTTTAAAGAGGCTCTCATGTAGCCCAAACTAGCCTCAGATTTGCTCTGTAGCCAAGGATGACCTTGAATTTCTGATTCTCCCGTGCCTACCTCCTTAATAACAGGATTACAGACCTTCCACACCACGTGTGGTGGTTTGAAAGAAAACGGCCCCCAAAGGGAGTGACACCATTAGGAGGTGTGGCCTTGTTGGAGGAAGTGTGTCACTGTGGGGGCGGGTTTTGAGGTCTCTTTTCTCAAGCTTCACTCAGTGTGACAGTCAGCCTACTTCCTGTTGCCTGTTAGATGTAGGACTCTTAGCTTCTCCTGCAGCATCACATCTGCCTGCGTGCTGCCATGCTCCCCACCATGATGATACAGGACTGAACCTCTGAAACTGTAAGCCACCACCTCAATTAAATCTTTTCCTTGTAAGAGTTACCATGGTCGCCCGGGGGCAGGGGCGCACACCTTTAATCCCAGCACTCAGGAGGCAGAGCCAGGCATATCTCTGTGAGTTCGAGTCCAGCCTGGTCTACAGAGCAAGATCCAGGACAGGCACTCAAACTACACAGAGAAACCCTGTGGGGGGGGGGGGGGGCGGCACGCGGGGGAGTTACCATGGTTATGGTGTCTCTCTACAGCAATAAAAACCCTAAGACACCTAGTGTTGGGGCTGGTTTTACACCGTGCTAGAGGTGTATGCTAGGTGAGCTCGTACCAACTGAGCCACGCCAGCCAAGAGGAAGAGGTTTTGATCATGACAATTTGGGCTCAAATCCCAGGCATTTTGTACAGCTTTTTGGAGCCTTATTCAATTCAGACAATTCTGAAGACAAGCTCAATATCTCGTGTAAACACCACTCAACGTTCCTTCCGTCATTCCTAGGAAACAAGACTAAAAGTTCGCACACCTACTTGACGAACAGTGCTTTAGGAGAACACCTTTAAACTCCCAGCTCCACTCATGACTCGGTCGTTCCCTTTAACGTGCTCAAAAAGCTCAGTCCCTCAGATGCTGTAAACATTTCTTATTCAGAAAATGCCGCCCTCCCGAGGACTCAAGCGTATGCATACACGAGCATGCAGCGGCATGGGCTCTGAGGAGTCATGCTGTAAAGAAAACCAGCTAAACTTGTTCAGACAGGAGCTCTCAAGTATGTCTAATGAATTTCATAGACACCCACAGAACTCAAATTCCTCTGAATGTAACTCATTCTTCCGAACATACTTTTAGAAATACTGATTTTGATAAATTCATGTCTAATAGTAAAATAGCAGTAGACCCAAGAAACTACCATATTTATATCTACTTTTTAAACTCTACTTTTATATTTTGTATTTTTTGAGACAGTCCCTCTCTCTCTCACGGCTGTTCTGGAACTGGAGATGTAGAACAGTCTGGCCTCAAATCTACAGAGATCTACCTTTTTCTGCCTTGGTCTAGTGCTAGGATTAAAGGTGTGTGTCACCATGCCTAGCCCTGAACTTTTTTAAGATTTTTTTTTTAATTTTTATTTTATGTGTAGTGTTTTGCCTGCATGTATGTCTATGCACCACACTCGTGTGCCTGATGGCTGCCAAAACCAAAACAGGGAATCTGAACCCCTGGAACTGGAGTTACAGGCAGTTGTTAGCCACCATATGGGTGCTGGGAACAGAACCTGGTCCCCTGGAAGAGCAGCCAGTGCTCTTAACTGCTGAGCCATCTCTCCAGGCCCTATATTTAGTTATTTTTGAGATGATGTCACACTGTGTTGCCCTGGCTGACTTCAAACTAACCATCTTTCTGCCTCAGCCTTCCTAGCAGCACCACATTGATTGCTAAAAGCTATCCTTTTGTAGAGATGCCCAAATCATTATTTTGTAGCTAGCCTTGAATGTGCATATATTCTGATATCAAATTGTATTTAGGTCACTTGAGCACTTTTATTACAAGATTTCAGAGTAAGACTGCCCAGGGATTAAGAAATGGCTCATAGTGATCTATAATGGAAGGCAGGGAGAGAGAGGTGGGGGAGAAGTTTTACTCTTTGCTTCCAAACTGATTTGTATGACCTATCTTATTCAACAAATCAATTTTCCAAAAATGGTGCAAATCTATTGCGACATCATGACCTCGGCTGCCATTACTCCTGGTGCCCTAGTGGATGACAGGAAGAGAATAGAGCTAGTGAACGATAACCAACCCCCACTCCACACACACACACACACACACACACACACACACACACACACACACACAGCAGCTAATTATGTAACAAGAAAAACGGACACAATAATCAGCATTTAAGCGGTCTTGAAATTTTCCACTGATCTCTATTGTAATTAAAATCTTGGGGAAATGTCCAAATAGACTTTTTCAGGACCTCTGTTAAGTGTCCAAAGCACCACAATTCTTCCGGGGGAAAAGAAGTAAACAGTGGCCAGGTTTGGTGACACTTGTCTGGAAATCTCAGCCCTGGAGATAGAGGCAGGATTGCCGGGAGTTTGAGGCCAACCTGGGTGATATATTGAGGGAATGGCCCTGCCTTAAGAAAATAATAAAAACAAAAACAAAGCAGCTGTTATATCTGGAGACCTAAAATTGTGTACACCTAGAAAGTCGGGTAATTGTAAAACGTAAACGATCAAAATAGAACTTAAAACAGGCGGCACAATTTACTAGACGATGGGTTTTCCAACTGTTTCCCCTATATTATCTCAACTATTCTACATAAATATCTGCGGTTAATACGGGTGATTAACTTGAGTACATGGAAGAAAGCAAAGTCCTAAGCCTGTGTGTGAAACAGTGTTAACGGGGCAGATACTTAAAAGTTTCAACATCTCGTGGTTTTCTAAGGAAAATAAATGGACTTTAGATGTGTTCTGGTAGTCAACTGAAATAAGTATGCATACAGCTGAGCCACTTACCAGCGCCAAGTGAGATGGTGCGAAAACCAATTGTTATTGCCCAAGGTACCAGAGCTACTTGAAAACTACTCTTTCACTTGCCTTTTGTTTTGGGAAGACCTAAACCTCAAAGACCACTACCTCTCCAGGCCGCACCCCCGCACATGGTGGACGCTCAGGCACCGGGCGACAGGGTACACACCTACCTGCCGGGCCGTGGGCGCTCCTGTCATCCCCAACTCCTCCCAGCTGACCTGCCTCCCCCCAAGCCTTTGCTGAGACCACCTCCTCTTCTTCCTGTCCTTCTCTACCTAACCAAAAGCAAGGACAGGGGAGGGAGAAGATGGTGGCTCGGAGAAGAGCACCCCCGCAGGCTCCCTCTCTTCCCCATTCCAGAGACGCAAAGCCACACCACCTCTCCTCGAGCCCGCAGGCAAAATCTGCCAACACTTAAATTCCTTTTTCAGATGCTTTTAGGCGCAATTAACTTCCCCGCTCCCTTCCGCCCCTCACCTTCACGAAAGCAATCGGGGTTGTGGTACCTTCGATATCCAACAGGATAACGGTGACTTCGGCGGGCACCGAAACCACGACCATTTCCCTGCTGGATGCTACCACGGGCTCGGCCTCGCTGGTAAAAGAGGACAGCACCGCCTGCGCCCCAGGACGCCTTTGGGCTCCCGAAGGCCCAGCAACAAATCGGAGCGCTGGCGACAGCGAGCGAACCCCGAGGCGCGAAGACCAGGCCGGCTCCGGGGGACCCGCGATCGCAGAGGAAGCCGCCCAAGGTGCTGCACCCCAAAGAACGGGCGAGCCGCGCAGGCCCAGACCACGTGGGCAGCCCGAGGGGCGGCGCTCCGGGTCCCGAGGGGGCGGGGGAAGCGGGGCGAGCGCGCCTATTGGCCACCGGCGAGCCCCGAACGCCGTCCGTCAAAATGGGCCTCGCGTGGGCGGGAACAAAGAAGCGAACGCCCGAGCTCGGAGCCCGGAGCCCGGAGCGCGGGCGCAAAGCCCTCCGCAGCCTGGTGGAGCCGGCGCGAGTGGCCCGGGGCACGTGCGGACGGGAGCCCCTCGCGTGGCGCGCCGGGGACGTGAGTGCCCCTTGCCTTCTCCGGCCCCTGACCTCCCCCCCGCCTTCCCCGCCCACCGCGTGCGCTCTGGCCCAGCTTCAGTCACCCGAGCAGGCCCCGCCCTCCGCCGCGGCCTCCGCCAGCCTGGGAGGCCGCCGCACGGAGCCGGGCTGCGGCGATCCTGCCGCCGAGGGCCCCTGAGCCGACACCGCCCCGCAGGCGGCGACGGCGGGAGAGCCGCCCCCCCCCGCCAGAGCCGGAGCGGGTGGTCATCGCGCGCGTCCGCTTGCTGTCCGGCTGCTGCCAGCCCGCGCGAGGACAGAGCACGCGTGCGCCGAGCGAGCGGGCGGGCGGGCGGGCGCGCTGCAGCTTCCTCGGCAAGCAGCGCCGGGTGCACGCCGCCTTTTTCCCCGGAGCAGCCAGCCCGCCAAGTAGGCGGGCGGACGGGCAGGCGGGCGGGCGGTCCCAGCAGCTCCGCCCTGGGGGACTGAGGGCGCAGGACGGGAGTGGGCCGAACGGGACGCGCGACACAAAAGGCTCTCAAGGCAAGAGGGACTGTGGCCCCTGCGACGCCGCGGCCCGGGATTTCCTGCCCTTCGGTCTTGCTCGTCGGATTGCTCCTGTTCCTCTTGAGCCCGACCCCCCCGTTCCCCGTCCCCCGGCGCCACCTCGCGCCTCACCGGGAGCCCCGCGATGGAGGTCCCGCCCCGGCTTTCCCATGTGCAGCCGCCGCCGCCGCCATTGTTCCCCTCCGCTCCCGCGACTTTAGCCTCCCGCAGCCTCTCCCATTGGCGGCCGCGGGCTCCCCGGCAGCTCGCCCCGCTCCTGCCTTCGCTCGCTTCCAGCGCCTCCCGGCAGGGGGCGCGCCGGACCCAGCGCCACGTCACCGCCCAGCAGCCCTCCCGATTGGCGGGCGGGCCGGCTATAAAGGGAGGGCGCAGGCGGCGGCCGGATCTCTTCCGCCGCCATTTTAAATCCGGCTCCATACAACGCTCCGCCGCCGCTGCCGCCGCCGCCGCCGCCGGGACCCGGACTGCGCGCCAGCACCCCGCTGCCGACGGCTCCGCCACCATGGAGGACATGAACGACTACAGCAACATAGAGGAGTTCGCAGAGGGATCCAAGATCAACGCGAGCAAGAACCAGCAGGATGACGGGTACCGCACGCTCCGCTCCTCCCCTCCCCCAGAGCCCCGCGCGCGCCCTTCGTCCCTCCGGAGCTGCGCGCGCTGCCCCCCCGTATGTCCCCGAGTCGAGTCTCCGCGTGCCCGCTGGACCCCAGTAGCTTCCCCACTAGTGGAAAGTAAGATGGGGGGGACTCGAGAGGCCCGCCGAGGGTGGGGGAAGGGAGGAGGGGGTGGGGGAAGGAGGGCGGCGCCGTCGGTGTCCCGAGTGCGCAGGCGCCGCGTGGGGCCGGGGCGGGCGGGTGGCCGGGGGGGGGGAGGGGCCGGCCTCGGTGCGCCACATGCGGCAGCTGCCGCCGCCGCCGCCGCCTCTTCATTGTGTGTGTTGTTGCTGCTGCTGGGGCGGCTTTCGCTGGGGAGGTTTGGGAAACTTTTTGGTTTTTGCGCCAGTCGCTGATGCTAAGAGTTCTTGGGGTTTTAGCAAGTTGGCTTGAGAGCTGTGGTCGAAAGTCCACGTAAGTTGTGTGGGGGATTCGGTGTAGAAGTTGTGCTTGGCATCCCAAAGTCATCGGAGCAGGACCTCCGCCTGATTTCGTTTTGGCTTTTTTTTTTTTTTTAAGTTTTGTGTTTGGACAGTAGGAAGCAACCTGTCTGCTGGTTTGAGCAAGTGATCTTAAGGTTTTTGTGGTCTATTAGTGTTTGTAATCAAAGTAGATTGCTTGCACTTAGTAAGTTACCCTGTGCTTATTGTATGGTTTAATTACAGGGTTGAAGTAATCACTAAGTTACTGTTAAGTCTTTTTTTTTTAATAACTTTATTTCTAGTAAAATGTTTATTGGAGGCTTGAGCTGGGATACAAGCAAGAAAGATTTGACTGAATATTTGTCTCGATTTGGGGAAGTTGTAGACTGCACAATTAAAACAGATCCAGTCACTGGAAGATCAAGAGGATTTGGATTTGTGCTTTTCAAAGATGCTGCTAGTGTGGATAAGGTAGGGGTGTGTTTTGCCTTGTGCCTTTCGTGTTGCTTGCAAATTGCTGTAGGCTTCTAAGTTCCTGTCTAACTTGTCTTCTAGGTTTTGGAACTGAAAGAACACAAACTGGATGGCAAATTGATAGACCCCAAAAGGGCCAAAGCTTTAAAGGGAAAAGAACCCCCTAAAAAGGTTTTTGTGGGTGGACTGAGTCCAGATACTTCAGAAGAACAAATTAAAGAATACTTTGGAGCCTTTGGAGAGGTGGGCTGTGTTTGTACACGTTTGATGTGTTTTTGAAATGTTTGTGCTTGGTCAAGTTTGCGTAGGGTTCGTTAATATTAAACAGGATAGGATTGAATTACTGCTCGGTGCCTTCTAGTTACTACATCTCGATTGCTGCTTCCTGTGCTATAGTAGACACTAATATCTAACCTCGTTTGGCCAAAGCCCAAGGGCTTAGAGTGATGGGTGTTTTACCAGCCGGTGACCTCTGGGGTAAAAGATGCTCTGAAGGAATGTAACACAGCTTTTTAGGAAGTAGTGGCCAGTAGAACGTGTTTGAAGTTTGTAAAGAGCCTGTAGCATTCTGCACTCCATTAACGGGTGGTTTTGTTTGTTTTGAATACACCTGATTTCAGATAGAAAATATTGAGCTTCCCATGGATACAAAAACAAATGAAAGAAGAGGATTCTGTTTTATCACATACACAGATGAAGAGCCAGTAAAGAAATTGTTAGAAAGCAGATACCATCAGATAGGGTCTGGGAAGGTAAATCCATTGAATTACATCGTGTGGGAAAAACCTGTTTGAAAAGAAAGCTGGTTTTGTGTTCAGAGCTTAGAACATCAGCAAGAATTCTGTTTGTTTTTAGTGCGAAATCAAAGTTGCACAGCCCAAAGAGGTGTACAGGCAGCAACAGCAACAACAAAAAGGCGGGAGAGGTGGAGCGGCTGGCGGACGAGGTGGAGCGAGGGGGCGTGGAAGAGGTGAGGCTTCATTTGGGGGAATACTGATTTATCTTTTTTTAACTGAAGCAGTAAACTGCTAGGTAAAATGGCCCATTAGAAAGCACAGCTAGATTGAAACTTTTAAAATGATCCCACATGATAAAGGCTGGTTTGTGGGGAGGTTTTTAAAAGTGCAGTGTAGGGGACAAGAATGCATCATTTTGTGTTAGGATTGGGAGGATTCAGAGTGGTTTCCTAACAATCATTGTGCATTGTTTCAGGTCAGGGCCAAAACTGGAACCAAGGATTTAATAACTATTATGATCAAGGATATGGAAATTATAATAGTGCCTATGGTGGTGATCAAAACTATAGTGGCTATGGCGGATATGATTATACTGGGTATAACTATGGGAACTATGGATATGGACAGGGATATGCAGACTACAGCGGTAAGAATACTTAACTTAATTTTATAAACCAGTGGTATTAAAATTCAATTTTGAAGTACTTTCCCATTAAGTTGTTTGTGTGTATGAGTTTCCTATTGAGATGTTTGGAGTTAAGTCTTTGTGTTGTATAGTCATAGGATAGTAACAGACAGTGATGGTTATCTTAAAGTACAATTTACAACTGTTGGCTCGTAAGATGGCTTGATACTTTAATGTTCAGCATGCACAGTTTTAAAGACGGGGTAGTTTGGTTTTGGTGTTTTTCTAATGTTTAAAAGGACAGTTTTAGAGGAAACTTCTTAGTAAAGCTTGTGTCCTTTCAAACTAGGTCAACAGAGTACTTACGGCAAGGCGTCCCGAGGGGGTGGCAATCACCAGAACAATTACCAGCCCTACTGAGGAGGACCTGGGAGAAAGCAGGTGTGTGAGCTTACAGGACAGCACTGGCAATGTCTGATTTCATTTAAAGATCAATAGACAAATGGAAAAGAGGAGTAAACAAAATATTGTGTAGTCTTTACTAAATTGTTAATTTTTTAATTGCTTTATGAGCCTGTTTTGCCTAAAGTGTCTATAGATCTTTAACTTTAAAGTCTTACCTCACCTTTTTTAGAATTACAGAAAAACTTAAGAGTTTTTCTGTTTGCTTTGTGTACCAGGAGGTTTAAACTTTTTTAGAACTATTAACAGGTAAAGTACTGAAATGGGTACAACTTAAGGAAAACAAGAATGTTGTCTTCTAACTCTGACATTATACCTTGTTTGTACCCGCCAGCGGGAACTTCATTGCAGGCCGTGTGTCACCCTGACCACGTCTATCTCTGGGGGTCGCACGTTGCGGGCAGAGCGCAAGGCATACACCAGAAAACGCTGTCCTGTGGTATGGTCTCTTCCAACTTCATGTACCAGCGTAAAGATTAAAAGTGGAAACTTCAGACTTTGGCTTCTTTTTAATCTTTTTGGAGATTAAGTGTCTAAACTTAACTTAAATGGTTTTTTGCAGGAGTTAAAGTACATAAATGCCTTTTTACAGCTTAATCATTTTGGTCTTCTGTTTAGTGTTGTATTTCAATTGTGGAGCCTCATTTTAAGTGTCCATTCTTTAAGATTTAATGCTTGCTTTTTCTTTTTATAGCTAATAGTGAAATCTACAAACCAAAACAAGAACTTTTAAATCTGGGATATAAGTTAAAGATCACATGCACAAAGCAATTCGTTGTCATGTTTCGATCAGAAACCTGAAATCTGCGTTGGTGATAGCATCCTCCTTGGCTTACTAGAGCTGTGCTTCTAGTTGGTCTTTGCTAGTCTTGTAACTGGGAAGATTGCATTCCTGTGTTTTCAAATAAATCCTCCTAATACCATTTGGGAACTCCAGTGAGTTTTTCAAATACCCAAACTACACTTTGTTAATGAATATGCATGTGATCTTTAATTATTGAAGAAAAGAATAAAGTGAGGACTTAAAACAATTCATGAAAGTGGACCTTTGCAAGCTTGTGAGGATTGCACACATCTAATGGTGGTTTTGTTTTTGTTTTAGGAGGTGTAAAGAAACCATCTTACAGGACGACATTGAAGATTGCTTGATCTTCTGTTGACCTAAGATGATTATTTTGTAAAAGACTTTCTAGTGTACATGACACAATTGTGTCCAACTGTATATAGCTGCCCATTAGTTTCTTTGTTTTCACTTTGTCCTTTGCTATCTGTGTTATGACTCGATGTGGATTTGTGTTTATACACCTTTTTATTTGTATGATTCATGTTAAACCTCCAATAAATGCTTCCTTATGTGATTGTTTTTCTGCGTCAGGTACTACATAGTTCTGTGGAAATGTAATTTTATAAAGAAGCAATAATTAAGGCACAGCTTTTTTTGTAGGGGGTATTGGTCCACAGGAAGAAACTGGTCCTAGTGTCCCTTGTTCCTGGTTTCTGTAGACATAGTCTGTAATTAAAGTCTAAGACTTCATTTCTGTTAAGTGAGATTGATTCCACACCTTTTGAATAATGTTCCCCCTCCAGGTATCTGGAGACTAGCACTACAGTCTATTGTGATTGGTGGAGCTTTCTAGCTTCTAGTGTGAACTGTGCTTTCAGAATCTTTCTAAGGAAAAGTCTCCTTGCTGAGCTAGGACTGCCTCACTGGCACAGTGCTGTTTGAGCATCAATGAAGCCAGGGTTTCTATCCCCATCACCACAGAAAATGAAAAGCCTGTTAGCAGCACAAGGCTTGTTAAGTGACTATCTCTGCTTGTTCCTGTCTGACAAACCATGTATAATTCATAGATGGCTTTGGCTTTAAGAGTTAATGACTTGTCTGCTAGAGAAAGCTTTTGGTGGTCACCGTGGCTGTTGGGGTTTTAGTGCTATAGATGAATGCAAGGGAAGAATGCTGTCAAATGGTAGAAGGGCTTACTCAGATACGTCTGGGATTCTCCTGAAGTTTGGATGTAGTGGGGTGAATTTAGGAAAGTTAGCACTCAAAAGTGCGTCCATCCCACCATAGTGCGGGAGCTGAGTAGATTTAAACAGTTCTGTATTCAGGCGGAGGAGGGGGCCAGTGGAGATGATGAGTCATGTGGTCTATCTTCTGGTGCATTAAAAACACTTTTTAAGGTAATACAAGCTTTGAGTTTTCCATTGAATGGTTGGACTTAGAAAAGGGGTTTCCATGGTTCCACAGACGTTTCTGGGTTTGGGATATGTTAAAGTTTAGAGTACTTGGTCTTAGAAGACCAGTGTAAGCTTTTTATACTGATCACCTTTTTTAAAAATGCCTACAACTTTGTTCTGATAGTATTTGTACTTGTTAGGCTATGGAGTTGCAATGCATTGGCCTTGTTTTCCTATGGCCAAGTACCAGTATTGGCTATTAAAAATTGTTTGTTTTGACTTGCAGCCAAGACAACAGAAGGGAGACCATTTCACATTATGTTAGTAGGTACAATATCCAGAACAAGAAATACATGTGAGTTCAAGCTTACAATTAGGTGACAAGTTGACATTGAGATTGTCATTTTTCCCTGATCAAAATGAATAAAGTCTTTTTAAAATAAAATTTCTTTCAATTAAGTCTTTATGTATGACTTTAAGAAAATTTAAAGGTCATCGAGATGGTTTACTAAGAATGGAAGAGTAAGACTGTACTTGATCACTGAGGTACCTTAAACATTAATCCACAGAAATGTGACATTGCCAGAGCTAATCTGCACACTTGTAGTTAGAGTGACAGGTTAGTGTGGCTTTTATTCCTAAGTAGTAGTTTAGAACTAAACTGGGTGAATATTGAAGTGGGAATTCTGAAGTTCTGTGATGGAGGAGACAACCTACACACTTTCCTGTTTTATTTCAATAGTCCACTGCTACATTTGTAGGATGAGGACTTGGTCATTGCTGGACTGTTACCATGAATAAGCAGAGCCAGTGAACCTTTGCTACGCAGATAGAACACATTTCAAGTCATTACCAATTTAAAAAGGTGCCTTACTCAAGAGCTGGGTAGAGCCTTCAGGTACAGTGAAAGATCTTGTCTAAAAGAGCAAAAGGTGGACAGGCTGGTAAGATGGTGGTGCCCCTAAAAGCATCAGTTCCCTACAAACCTGAGCACAAAGAGAAGGAAAGAACTAACTCCACAAAACTGCCCTCCGCACCCTGCCACAGCACATGGCACGTTTTTAAGTGGAGAGCGGTCAAGGGAGACCGACAAAGCCTTGGCCCTGGCCCCATGAAGTGCACATTCAGCACAGTCACAACACGTGATGAACATATGGATTCGTTATAACATTGAACAATATCAGAAAATACTAATTCTGAAAGTCCTCCCAAACCCTGGCCTAATGTCACCCATGGTCTCAACTTCTTTCTGGCTGTCGTAGAGCTAACTAGCTCTGTAGGCCAGGCTGGCCTCAAACTTGGATCCACAGCCTGGCTGGTCTCAACTCTTTAACAATGCAACCTCTATGTTGCCCTTTTTTATTTTTTAGCAAGTGTTTGAAAATGTATTCCTAAAAATACATATTATTCCTAAAAAATAATCAGTTGGGGTTTTAACATTTTTCTTCAAAATGGCCAAATTGAAAGTAGGATTTTAGTAGGATTTGGTTTTATAGAAAGTAAGGATGCACCATGACTTCTCAGTGACTGAAAAAACTACAAGATGTGATTGGTGGTCTGGGTCTTAGTGGAATGCTGAACAGTGAAGATTTCTTGTGCTCCTCAAATACTAATTTAATCTCCAGCTTTCCCTTTTAATCAAGACTCAAAAGTACTCATTTGAAGAGGTGTGTTCTTCAAGTGGTTTGTCTGTGCTTTGAAAAAGCATATTCAGTTCAAGAAGTTTCAGACAAAAAGTACACGATTTTGGTTTCTCAAAGACCAGCACAACTTAAAGGTCTTGAAATTAGGGGTGGGCGCAGTTCCTGGAGAGGACCCGGGTTCAGCACCCACACCAGGCGGTACACAACTGCTTGTAACTCCACCTCCAGGAGTACCAATAGCTCTGGTCTCCTTGGGCACACATGCACAAGTGTGCACATACACAGAGGATGCGTGTGACACTGTGGTTTAGTGAGAAAAGAAGGGCAGCTCTACAAAGGTCCTTCTCCAACTTCATTACCTCCATGCTGCTCAAGTCAGGCGGCTAGCTGGGTTATAAGCACTCGCCCTGATGACGTTTTGGAATCTTAAACTCCTTTTATGACTATTAGCCATATCTGAGGCCTAGGTTTCCAGATGAAGTATTTGAGAAGTACTTGGGCACTGAGACTGGTCAATGTTCTTTAATACCATCACTGAGTGCCAGGATCTCTTGTAGGGAAGTAGAATTGGCTACAGTGGACTCACTTCTCTGATGAAACACCCAGGAAATCAGCTAGTTGTTCTGTGAAAGATCTGTCCTTGGATATTGACAGTGATTCCCATTGTCCTTGGATTGTTGAGATACTTAGGTTGTATGTGTGTGCATGTATGTAGACATACCAAAAGAATTGGACTTTGTGTGTGTGTATTGTTTGCATGTATGTCTGTGCACTACCTGTAGGTGGTGCCCATGGAGGCCAGAAGAGGGCAACAGATCCCCTGGAATTAGAATTATACGCTTGTAAGCCTCCTTGTGGGACCAGGGAACTGAACTCAGGTCCTGTGCAGTAGCAAGCACCTTTTTTTTGGGGGGGGGGGGGGGGCAACACGGTTTCTTTGTGTAGCCCTGGCTGTCATGGAACTAGCTCTGTGGACCAGGCTGGCCTCGAACTCAGAAATCCACCTGCCTCTGTCTCTGGAATACTGGGATTAAAGGTGTGCGAGACTGCCGTCATCACTGTTGCCTGGCTGTAGCAAATGTTCTTAACTGCTCAGCCGTCTCTCCAACAACCTCATATTTTTGAGACAGTCTCAGTGTGTAACTCAGACTGACCTTGATTCTTGACTGCTTGGGTCACAGGTGTGCACTACCACTGCTATCTGCAGGGGTTTTGGTTGGTTGGTTTGGGGGGGGGGGGGTGTTTTCTTTGTTTGTTTTGTAAACTTAAAGAAGTTTGAGTGGTGTGGTTTCCAAATTTTTCATCACCAGAACACTTGATTTTCTTTTCCCATACATTGGATTTTGTTTGAGCCCAATTTCCCCATGTAGCTTATAATGGATTTGAGTTCTTCCTGTCTCAGTCTTAATGCTGGGTTACAAGTGTGCAAGATACTCTTGGCTGACTTGCTTATTGTGTGTGTGTAACTTTCATTGTGCTATGGCATTTCTATTAACCAAAGGTAAGCAGCTTTCAGAACATTGTGAGATGATGGGTATCATGCCAATTAAAATCAAATAATGTTTTTTGCAATGCTGTTTTTGGTTTATTTTGTTTCGTTTTTTTTAAGACAGAGTTTCTCTGTGTCACAGCCTGGAACTCACTTTGTAGACTAGCCTGGCCTCTGCGGATCCTTTAATCCCACGTGCTGGGGTTAAAGGCGTGTGCCACCATGTCTGGCGCCCTGTAGAGATTTCTATTGATGGTCATTTCTGCCACACTTATTAAAATACTGAAACCAAGAAATGTCCCTCTTGCTAAGACTTTGGAAGCACACTTGGCACATCGCTGGGATAAGGACAAAGATGGGAACTTAGGAAAGCGTCACTGCCACATCTGCAAAAGGAAAAGCTTTAAAGCACAGAAGGCTGCAAAGTTATGAATTTTTAAAGTTAGCATTGACCGGACTTTGGAAAGACAGACACCTCCCAATTCTGTCCAATATTCTTTTCTTTCTTCAGTAGTTATTCTTAATGTATGTGCACAAAAGTCTTAAGGGTCTATCAAAAGTAGTAACTCAACTCTGCCTAGTTCTTCCCTTGTTTAAATTATTTTTTACATTTTGTTAATTAAAATTATTTAATTGCTATTGCCCTGATGTTTCGGGGCACCAAGATACAGAAATAAACAAAAAGGTGTTTTGTTTTTTGGGGTTTTTTTTGCCCTCTTATTCAGTACTGACAAGTTCAAATGCTTTGGAGCTGAAGAGATGGTTCAGTGGTTAAGAGCACTGGTCGCTCTTCCATAGGACCTGGGTTAGAATCCAGTGCCCATCCTCTTCAGGCACTACATACATGTGTTGCATAGACATACACACAAAACAAAAATAAATCTCAAAACTTTTTTTAAGAACATGAACTGTACTTGCAGAGAACCCAAGTGTGATTCCCATGATGGATTTTTCCAGTGATGTTGCTATTTATCTTCTTGGTTAACATCAAATGTAGATTTTTCCAGTGACACACAGCTAGTATCCATGGTAGTAGGATCCAATCTAGTAGGC